TTCCTCTCTCTCCTCCTTCTCTCTCTCTCTCTCTCTCTCTCTCTCTCTCTCTCTCTGTGTGCCTTTCTGAAGCAGCTGACATAAATTCCAATCTGTGGCAAGATGCCAAGAATAGATTCGAAGATTGCAGATATACATATACGATACTTGAGTGTTTTATTTTAGCCTTATTGTCTCATTAATTGATTATCAGATTTTTCCAATCTTTCTTCCTCTCTAGGCTTTTATTAGTAAATATTTAAAGTGTCTCCGACGGCATTATTTATAAAAGTATCAATGACTTGTGTACAGAACATAAATAAGTCGATGCATCGTCTTTAGAGCGAATGTCTAGATGTCATGCATTGTCTACATAAACGAATAGGCAGTGCGCTAAATCGCCTTTGTATACACGACAATTCTAGCTTAATGCAAAATGCACGTGCAATTGTAGGTCGACAAAGTGCTCGATGGTAGGACTCATCCGATGGAAACTCGTCGGATTTGAGGATCCAATGACGCTTTGTCATTAAAGTCATTACGTCATCCATCAATAGGTAGCTCCTAAGCCTGCTGGCTCCGCAATTCAATGCCAACAAAGCCGCATTTACCGATTGTAGTACGCCTCACAATAACCGGCTATGCAGAAACGTTTGAATGGCAACAATGTCCGAACTACGGTTTGTAGGTAGAGTAGCCGATTTCCACATTAACGCATTACTTGACCCAAGTCGCTTTACGCTAGATCCAAATACATTTTGTTTTACCCCCCCCCCCCCGAGCTGACACGTGTCGGAGCAATCAAGTTTCGCAATCGCACCTTATAATTTCTCGGCATTCACGACTAATTTCATTGCAGATTTTAACAAAGATCCCTTTTTCCCTTTTTTTTCTCTCGCTCGCCCTCGACTGCTCGGTGTACAACGGTACATTTACATATACACAGCTCTATGGCGATGCAAGAAAATTCTGCCGGTATTAAACATGAAGCCGTAACGCTAATGAAACCAATCTTCGCCGCGGGCGAAATGATAATGTTTAATTTCAATTTGGAACGCTCCGAATACACAACAGAGACAAGTCCGTGCGATAACAAAAAAAAACAAAAAAAAGAAGAGAAAGGAGTAAAATAAATAAATCAATTTTTGCGATTCGAAAGATTTTCAGCGCCGGAAAGTCCTAATTGCCCCGTAACGTAACGGATTATACGCGTGTTCGTGGTGTCACATGACACCCGGTCACCCGGCCGGGAAACAAAAGGCCGTCACGGTGATGGATGGGTTCCAGACGATTGAAGCGGCATACCGGCTTTCTGTTTCAGGTGGCATGGCTGCGGGTGGACACGCAAACCATCCTGACGATAGCCAATCACGTGATAACGAAGAATCACAGAATCGGCGTCACGCACAGCGAGCACAAAACGTGGCTGCTGCACATACGCGATGTCCGCGAGAGCGATCGAGGGAACTACATGTGCCAGATAAACACTGACCCGATGAAGAGTCAGATTGGTTATTTGGAGGTTGTAGGTTCGTCCATTGTGTTGCTATTAATATCGCGATATAGGGGAAAAAACTGTGCGCTTTTGCAAAAATTCGCGTCCGGGTGAAAAAATAGAGCTCGACAATACGGTAAAATCAAGTTCGCTTTCGGAGGTGGCCGGTGACATTGTTTTTGAGAACGCGCTTGCACACTGCCTTTAAACCGCCAGACGATAGAGAGCTGAAAATTGATTTCGCGGTATTTCGTGAAATGAAAGCTGACGTTCAATTTCTGTTCGACAACTTCTATGCGCGCGTATTCTTGCGCGCTAGTCGTATTTTGCGCGCTTTTCATTTTTATAAAGTCAACGCGACATTCGTCCGAGCTTAAAACTGCGTACTCGAGAGAACGCTGATTACAATTTTTATCCGACAGTTCCGCCGGATATTTTGGATTATCCCACGAGTACGGATATGGTAGTGAGAGAAGGTAGCAACGTCTCGCTGCGTTGCGAAGCAACAGGGTCGCCGAAGCCAAACATCACCTGGAGGAGAGAAGACAGCGAGTTGATTATCCTCGGGAACAGTCAGGAAGGTAAACTACTTACAATCTGTCGTGTACATACAAAGCTTAATATTATAGTTTGATAAAATGACTCAGTCACGTGAAGTTCTTTGAGACAAGATGAAACTTTGCACAACGATATCAGTCATGATATTCTTCAGGATACGTCGTCCTGTGCTTCCTACAATTATAACCCTCTCTCGGGAGATTCAGTTAATAAACTTCGTATCGTAAAATAAGGAATGATTCGACATCGATTTCTGACTATCCAATTGCTCTCGATATTCATCGAATTTCTTAGCATACGCGTGACAGACAATTTTCCATAATTTTCGTACGTAAGCGTCAGGTGGCGCGGAAATTCTCGACCGTTCCGACTTATTTTATTCGCGTCGCTCATCTTGAAAATCGCCGTAGGAAAAGCGGACGCGCGCGCACAGCTGAAACACCGGATTCACTCAACGCGGCGACGACGATTTATCATTCCGCCTCTCGGACTTTATTCAGCTGACTACGTTGCGTGATGCAATTGCATTCGAAGCTGCCGATGCAACCGTGTCGGTGACGTCAAAGTGAAATATGCGTTTCAGCCCTTATGCGTCTCGCACAATAACGCGAAGGAAAATCGAGCATCCTCGTTCGCACCTGTTCGAACAACGGCGACTTTATTCTACGGGTACAATAACAATTTATCATCCTTTTGTCTTTCAAACTTATTGAGCCGTCCCGCCTCTCCATGCAGTTCCGTTAAATATTTGCTCCCCTTTGTGTGCACTTTATGCACCTGTCCCCACGTAGAGAACCCACGATAATTTATAAAGGCAAGCGACGATTCTTTCGCTCCCGTTGGCACTTTTTTACAGTTTGACCTTGTTCTCCGCGAAGATGAATGTGCCCCTTTTAATTTATTTCTTAAACTAACAGTCGGCTCGCGGAGCTTTGCACAAAAACATCTGTCACTGTTTGCTTAGGAATAATGCGACAACACAATTTAATTTGCGTAATGTGCACAATTCGGTATTAAATATAATTGATCAATGGCACTAATTTTACTTTTGAAAAATTTCAACAACAATTTTTACTTCAAAATAAGAATTTTCTTATTTTTCGCTGTATTCTCTCAATTTCCGCTTAGATAAAATCACATATAAAAGATTAAACTTCCTGCAAACAATACCGAAACATGATCTTTGTTTCAGTGACTTCGCTACGTTGATGCTACAGAGATGTACAATATTTTTGAGTAAAATATAAGATAACTTTTATTACAATCGTCGGAATTTCTATGAAATAAAATTAATCTCATTATTTGATCTTCAGATTACATATTTACAATTACATGTCGTAATTAATAAGGATTGTTCACATGGTTCACGATTAGTAATTGACGTGATAATCTTTTAATTTTTTATCGTGTTTTGGGTTCATGCTAATGTCATTTAAATACACCGCTCGTCATAATGATTCGCTGACGTGGATACAATATCTATTTATCATCCCTATTGTCTACCAAATTTATTGAACCGTCGTTTTGCATAATGCTGTTTTGTTGACAGCGAAAACATTTATTCCGCTACGCGTGCAGTTTATTCATGCGCTTCATTTAACATCATCTGCCAGCCATTTGAAATGTCCTGCTATGGAAATTTATTATCCCTTCACTTGCATTTATCTCATATTGTTTCTATTATTAAAGTGTATTTGTTGCCAATTCGCAATGTTGCTTAACGCTCCGCTATTTTTGTTGCACCTCTTTTATTCTTTTTCTCATTCATTTCAGGATTATACACATTCGTTCATCCGCGTCATTCATACACACATATCCTTTCACTCATTTCTTTAAGGAAGATCGAGATTTGTCTCTGGTATCTTCTTGTTTGCTTGCAGTTCTTCTCTTCTTTAACTTTCTCGATTTTTTAGTCAATAAGTAGTAAGTTTCTCCTTCGTAGGTTTCTTCTGCTTTTTTATTTAACTTACGAACGTGTACGCTTCTTTTGCGACCATGAAAACTCTTTCTTGAACTCCAACATCGCACTCGGTTTATTTCCATTTCAATCTTTACTCTATGCTTGAACGCTTCCATCTCCTTTCAGTTTTATTTTTTAAAGAAAAGTCAGTATTTCTCTCTCCTTCCCCTCTCCCTTTCTCTCTTAGTTTTCAGAAATAGTTTCAACGCGTGCTTGTTCCTCTTTAATTCGCAAATATGACTGTTCCTTGTGCGCGTCTTTCTTGTGTTTTCATTCTTTCTCTCGCCTCTGTGCTTGCCCTTGTGATCAACTCCTTTATCGTCCAGGTATTGTTTCTGGCGCGCTTCATACTTTAATTAACGAATTCTTCCTCTCCCTCCTCTTCTTCCAACACTCGCGTACACTTTGCCATCCTGCACTTCGCGATTACCACCACGACTCTTTTTTACCCTTGCCCAAGCCCTTCCTCTTATCCCATTCTTTTTCTCACGGCAATCACGACAATCCCGCTCTTCAAGGCGCGCTTCAACTTCTCCTCGCATTCTGCCATCCTTTTTCACTCACGAGCTCTTTCCGTTCTTCTCCGGTGACCCTTTTCGCTCATGAGTGAACGCCCACACTCCTTACGTCCCTCCCCACCCCCTCCGTCACGCACTCGCTCTCCATCACGGACACTCTGTTCTCGTTCATGTATGCGTGAACAAAATCCCAGATAAACCGCCAAACCTATTTGCCGGAAACTGTCCGCAAATACTAGCGGGGAAATAAAGTTTCCCTGGTTGCGGAGTAGTGCGAAGTTTCGGAGACTTTTGTGCCGCCGATCGTTGTAGGATACTTTCCAGTCTGCACTTTTCCAGCTCCGTCGAAACTTGGCTAAAGCAATCGGCGTATCTGGACACGTGCATTTTTGTAATTTATATACCAATAAATATTTACAGCTCGCGGAGTTCAATCCGAAGATCGCTGCGGCAATGCGCGCTCATTCAAAACCGTGTTTAAACAGCCGCGATCATTATATCTGTAAATTGTTATCAGAAATTTATCCCGCATATATGCATTTATTATAGTAAGAGTTTACAAATAGATTATTCCCTATTGTTATTAATTATACACTATACATGCGTAACGATTAAACATAATGATTGTTTAATCGATTTTATGTTACCAAAGATAACAATTTATGCTTTCCAAGGTAATAATTCCAGGTTACAACAGCACAGGTACCGGAAGTCGGAAAATATTCGCCGATGAACAGTGAATTGCGGTCAATTTAATTGCTTCATTAGGCGAAAAAGCCGCGTTAGCTTAATTCGGAAATCTGGTACAAGGGAAATGTGAAATGTAAAATCTATTAAACCTAGTTGGCGTTATCGTTTTTTTCTTCTTTTTTTTCCTCCTCTGGCTGCGGTAACGGTCGAATAAATCGGCACTCGCAACTAATTAACTAAAGAGCCCACACGGCGGCTCGCGCGACCCGACCGCTGGTTTACAGCTTATCTCGTATGCAGGTGATTTCAGGCCGAGTCAGCAGGCGTTTCAATAACATAAATCGCCTTGCACAGAGATTAAACGGCGGAGCCGACGAAGTCGTTCCTCAACGACTCGAAAATTCATTCCCTCTGAAAATATCGAGCTTTTCGCTCTTTCATAGCGAGCTAAATGTACGCCTCGCTTTTAAAATTATTTTTCCCGCGTTGAAAATATGGCAAATCTCGCAACTATAACTTGCGAATGATAAATATCACGTGGAATAGGCGTGTGTAATTTCTCGAAGATTTAGTGTGACACTTTATCCAGGTATATTTCGCAAGCAAGACAAGGGGGGCTAAGGGGGGCAAGAACATGAAAGTTAAGGATAACAAGGGAGTTTTAAGCCGTGGATGTTCAGTGCCAAGGCTGCAACCGTAACGGAGAGCCCTGTATTCGGCTTACGTCTTAAAACTTAAGAAATGCAAGGCAGACGAGTTGCAGCAAAAGTGCGACGTCTTCCCCAGCGCGCGGTGGAATTCCTTAAGTCCTAAATTTTACATTCCGCCTCACGTGCGGCTCTAATCTACATCCGTTAACTTCGCGACTTATGAATCTTTCTGGTTTTTAAATATCACGCTTTTTTACGAAAGCGCAAACACACACTGACTATTTTTTCGCAAATAAAAAGTTTGGTATGTTTAATTAACAAAGCGCAGCTGTGCGTTCTCAAATAGTATAAAAAAAAAAAAACAAATTCATTGGTATGCAATATTCATGCGAGTTTTCGTTGAATAAAAAAATGTTTGAATTAAATTGAATTTATGCCGCGATTATTGAGCAGCATTGTTGAATGTGACTCAGTAATGGTGGATTGTGTAATGGCAAATATAAAGCGGATGAAATGTAAACGGCTTCAGAACGTACTTGGAAAAATGTACATTTTTAATTATTTGTACTGCAAATACGTATTTTATTACAATTTACAAAGGAGCGACAGAGCTAAAGTATTCATTATACTCGCAACTGAGAACTTACGTAAGATATACGCTAGCAAGAAGCCATCGACAAGTGTTTCGTCTAGGATGCAAGGCGGGTTTTGCGAGTAGCATGTACGAGACATGCAATGTTAACGGAGATTAGACTGCGTTGCAAAAACAATGGCGCGATGATTAGTATCGGTTACGCAGAAGTACAAAGCAACGTAGTCGACGTGTATTAATTTGAATCCTGATTGCGGAATTTTTTGCGCATACTTGATGAAAATTTCTTACTAACGCAGTAAATTTATGTTCCATGTTGTCTGACTACATTTAGATTCCATTATCATTTACGAGTAAAATAAATAAAAATTATAAACACAAAAGATAAATTTAACTATTTTGTAATATTGTCTGCGGCATTAACTTGCGATTGTACATTCAATAATAATTGTTAATAACAATATTTAATTTTCTTAATTCTGTTACGAAAATTAACAATAATCTGTTAATTAGGTTAATTAGGCTTTAGGTGATTAGGCAATAGATAATTTAGGCATTAGGTGATTAGATAATTAGAACTGTTAGGTAACAGTTGACAATAATATCCGCATTTTCATTTAATTGACAAACTATCTGTCGCAGTGCCCACCGTTGACGGATCAATCTTCAATATCACGAAAGTGAACAGATTGCAGATGGGAGCGTATCTTTGCATTGCGACCAACGGTGTACCGCCATCGGTCAGCAAACGAATTTTGCTTCTTGTACATTGTAAGTATTTCACTCGAATATGTGCCGTCTTATTTTAATATATATAAACAGTCGAATGTAACAAATAATATAACCCAGACAACTGTATGATACCTTTCTTTCACGTTTGTCTCAATGTTAATAGTTACTCCAATGATTTGGATCCAGAATCAATTGGTAGGTGCCCAAGAAGGCCAGCAGATGACGTTAGAGTGTAACTCCGAAGCATATCCAAAATCCATCAATTATTGGACGAGAGACAACATCATCATAACGAACGGTATGTTTGCACAATGATCAACAAAAGCGAAAATTTTTTATGCGTTAAAAATATTTTAAAAAGACTCGCGCCGCAGATGCAAGCGAAAAAGTGCATTAAACCTCGAAAACTCCGAGCATTTTATTCGGAATTCCAAAAAAGAAGCCCGAAACGATCGGAATTATGCGTCGGCGGCAGCAATTACAGAGCGTCCGCCAGCAGTAACGACATTAATTCGATCAATGACAGCGTTAATAACATCAGCAATAACAACGGGTAACAGTAGCAGCAATAACAACGGTTCAATAGATTGCCATTTCCGTGCGTACCACACGCGCGTCCCTACTATAATTTAATGAATGGTAATCGAACTCGCTCGCCGACATACTTAACCATACTTTACTCACGGACAGTACATGGTCAGGCCCGGTTTGCTCATCGAATCCATTTATATGCTAGAATTTAAAGGTCGCCATAAACAGTTAACGTTCCGCCGTGCTCATTTGCCACGCGAAATTGGATTGCGCTTTCCAAACACGTTGAATTACAATGTTTAAAAAAAAAAAGCGAACGCTAATGCGTTCTCCAGAACATATCGATTTGCTCGCTAATGAACACACAATATGTGTCTTTAATAACGCAATAATTTACTAAATAACTTTAAGTAATTACTAATAACTGTTTAATTATTCCTGTAAATAACATTTCTTCGACGTAATATAATTAACGCGAGCTTTGCGTGTGCGGTGTAATCGGTGTGCGGAGCGCATTGTTTGACGCAAGAAATAATGCCTGGCAGATGCATGTGTATCGCCTATAGCGGTGATATGTAGCAAATCGGACCTGACAATGCACGATGCTTCGATGCAGCGCGTTATACCGAAAAGCAGCGCGGACCGCATGTACGCATAATTATTTCGGATAATTAGACATGACGCTGCTGCGCGAGCGCGGGCGTGCGGTATAAGCGTATACGCCGAGTAATGTACCTTCGGATCCATTAATGCGCCGGGGCCGACTCCGCTTCGGGTCACGGATATGCGGGCTCCGCGAGTAAGAACGGCCGACGGCGGCGTCCGCGCCGTCGCCGTCGCCCGGTGTCTGCAGCTGCTAATCGCGCAGCTAATTAGGTTAATTTCGGATCGCTTCTACCGGCGCACCTGCAGCGACGCGAGCGCTGGCGTTTTGCTACCGGTGATCGATGGCTCGCTGCTACCGGTACGATTTCCATTTGCGACGCCGGGGAGATTAATCTTTGTTTGCCCGGGTCCCCGAGATTTTTATTTCACAGGCTGGTTTTGGGGCGAAGGGGGCGAGAAGGGGGAGGTGAAATGAAACGGGCCGCGCTTTCTGTCGCGGCTGAATGGCTGTCCGCTTATCTGCGACGGAATCTGGACCTGAATAAACCGCGTTAACGATCGTCAGTGACTTATGGGAATTTCACTTTTTCACACCGTCGAATGACAATGCGCGATAAACGCTTTTTAACGCGCGGACGACAATATATGTAAGGATTGTTGATTGCTTTTTAGAAGAACACGTGTGAAATTCTCAACACATCAATCGCATTTGATTGAAGAATTTCTATTTTCTGATAAATCGTAGTATTAAAAAAAGCAATTATGAATAATTTCTCGATTCGAAATTGCAAAATACGAGGATTGTATAAACTTAGAAAGTAATCGAAAGTTTTTTTCGCGAGTTCGCGAGTTTCCTGGATGCGTCAGCGCGAGCTTTCAATCGAAACGGAATGAAAATCCCGTAAAACCGAAGGCGACCGTTTCGCGGCTTATCTGCCGCGATTTCGTGCCCGCAGCCCGGATGGAAAGCATGCGAATTACGAATGGCCTGACTGTCAAGTTATCTCGCATTATATTCCCCGTGTCAACCGCACATGCCCCCCGGTGTTTCGGCGTAACAGTTACGACATGCTTTACGATTTAACGTTCCGCGGATATGCGCCGCCCGCTAATGCGAATTCAGCGCGCGTGACCCACGCACGATCAGATATCGGGCGTGCAGCGGCGCCGTCATCTATGTGCACCGATTTTCGCATCGAATCGGCCCATTCATCGGTAACGCGACACGTGGTGAATAGCGTGTGCGAAGCTGGACTCGATTTTCAAATCGATTCGAATATTCGCTTGGGTGAAATTGTTATTTAGATTGCATTTTTTTTTTTTCGAAAAAAATTTCACGATAGACTGTTACCCGTTCCGCGAATATCTTTTTTTTAAACGATGTGATAACGATATATTTGTACATTTGTATCCGAGCAGATGTATATGCGAGGTGAGTTTTGATATATATTCCTAGCAGTAAACTCCGGTTTGCATTCAGCCGTAAAACGTTATTCACCGCAGGTGCTCGTCGGTCGGAAGCGTGCCGCGATTATGGGAAAATCGCGATTCAAAATTGCACTGTGGTACGTGAGAGTCCGACTGAAGTTGGACATTCGAATTTCCGGCAAAAACATAAAAGTTTCAACGATGCCGTTGAAAATTTTTTCCCGCCAGCAGAAAGGCGAGTTGTCTGCTTATAAAGCTTTACTGGGGGATATCCGGCGAGTCGAAATATTCATGAATTTTCCTACTCGGGACTTGGCGAAAAATTTTAAGTTACGCCGAGCGTTTCCAGTCACGCAGCTCAATCGACAGAAACGCTTACATATAGATACCGCGCCGTCCATTCTCACGGGAAGGCAACTCGAGTCGTAAAGCGGCAGAAAGTACAATTCTATTATGCTCTGCTATAGTTGGAATCATATAATGGAAATAGCCATCTCGCGTTCTCACTGCAGCATAGCAAAGTAGCGAATATAAAAAAAGATGAAAAAACCAAGCTTTAAATTTTGTGTATCAAAGAACGTATATATCAATGTCTCGTCGTAATTTATGTTAAATAAATTTTAGATAAACTTATTAAGTATCGCCGTAAAATAACGTCTCGCACACCTGGCGAAAATCTTGCTAGATAATTACCGTGGCGATTTAACAAATTGTTGCAAATTCGACAGTTTGATGAAGCGCGAGGCAATAAATTTATCGTCATATAAATTTAGCGCTGTCCAAGAAGCGGATGATTGAGAATTCGAGTCCGCCAGTTCGTTGACAACGGGATTACACCGTAAATCAGTGCCTTTGGAAAACATAATCTGTCAGTGGGCAAACACACACGTTATGCGCGCGCCGGCACTCCAATTCATTTTCAGCATAGAGTGCCTGGCGGTTAGCAATTACACGATATTTAACGTTTCGCCGCTCTGCGTGCGCGGGTTTGTGTGCCTCAAATTAGATACGTCGGTGTTAAACTCATTACAGGCTTTACATTTTTTATGTTCATACATTCGTGGCCAAATTGTGCGGTCTGGTTTTAAAGGAGCGCTTTTCCGAGTCACCATTGTACTTCCTCGCGACAGTTCCGGGTATAATTTCTCTCCCGGAGAGATTTCATTTTCAGCGTTAATTACATTTGGAACGCTTAATGAATTAAAATTAAATATCTTGACAAGAATATCCTTGAACTTTAATGGAACACTTTCAACAGAACTTTTGCTTTTTTATTATGAACGAGAGAATTCCTGCACATCGTATCATAGCAAATAATTTTAACTAATTGATGTAATTCAAATTTAATTCATTCCAGTACAGTTAGACACACAATTTCCGAGATAATATCTTGAATGTACATTGAATTTTTCTTCCAATAGCATTGTTTATATATGTCGATAACTCTTTCGCGCAATTGTTTCACAGTTTCCTTCGCTCGCGATTGGCACGAGCCAGTGCTCGTCTATTTATTTCGTTACAATGGAGTCTTTTTTTTGCATTTTTACATAAATCAAGCGCGAAAGTTAGATTGCGTTCGTAAAAGTCCCAAAGTATTGTGTGATCGATGACACGGGCGCGTGATCGTAGAAACGTCGGCGTTCGGCGAAATTAAGCGTGAGCGATCGCCGCAGATGGAAATTACGTCGGCAGTTTGAGTTTCCAAGTCAACGTGATTCATGCCCACATATGTCGGCGAGCCGTGCGCCGACGACGTGCGGGAGATACGAGTAACACAAAATATCGGTCCCACCGACTTTCGGATTTAAAAGCAGTTTTATCCCTGCAGAATCCATTCGACCCCCACCGCCACCGCCGCCGCCGCCGCCGTCGCCGCCGCCGCTGCCGCCACCGTGGGTAATGCTCGGCACCGTAGTTCAACGTCGTTAAACTTTTTCATCTGCTTTTCAAACTCAAAGCCGGCCGAAAGTTTTTCTTCCGCTTGTGGGGCTCGAATGGTGCCACTACATAAATGCATTCTACCCTTTCCGCCCTTATTCCACCTGCTGTTCTACTTCTCCCCCTCCTCCGTTCCGCCGCGTGCTCAATCTCACCCTTTTCTCCACACATTTCTCTTTCTCTATCTCGGAGACGTAAGTTTTCCTCCCGGCTGGGAAAATACTTCACCGTTCCGCGTTGCCGCGGGTCATTACACCTATAGATTTCACTCTCTTCCGAATGCGCCGCCACCTCGAATTGTTAATCAAAACTTCTTTCCGCGCTCGCGCCCTCCGTCCCGACCCGCCCCAGCCCGCGCCACTTTTCATCCACCGTGACGTTATCGAGAGGAATCGAAACGCTAATGCCGCTCTCCGATTTGCTAGACACCGCGAAAGGTATTTCACTTCCTTTATATCCTTGTGCCATTTCGCGCTCTTTCGCGGAAAACTTTCCTAGCGGAGATAATACACTTCGGTATGAACAATTGAGACGCGAACACTCGGGGGATAGTTAAACGAATGTGCCAAGTTTCGCGCCTTTACTGTAATGGGATTCTTTCATTATAAGCTCTGTATCTGAAATGGGTCACGTGATCGCGCATAATTCTCCAGTTTCACTTTACTATTCCGTCGACAAGTAACGACTGGTTGGCGTGCTCGGCCACCATGATAGCGCCGCGTACCTGTTCCATCTCGTTTTTGGTCAGCCGGAGCTTCCCCGAGCATACCCTTTGCAAGGAAATGTAATTCCGCAACCAGAAATGGAAGGCGCGGGACTGAGATACAGATACGTAAACTTAATAAATGGTTATTAAATTGTTGCGCTTGGACGTCTCTGCTTAAATTGTTGCTTCAAAGACACATGATTGTCGCGTTATCGCGAAATGAGATGGATTTTCTGTCCGGTTATATAAAGTGTGCGTGATTTATTACGCGAGAATACATATGTTTATCGGAATTCGCGGGAATATTTCCACGCTCGACAGTCGACATGTGTGTGCGAGGTACGAATAATGAGGACCAAAGCGCTTGGAACAATTTAAACGGCCGGCAAAGAGAGAGGAGGGGTGAGCCTGGCGAGCAAATATGAGGGGCAGCATGCGCTCACGCGAGAAACCCTAATGCTAGTTTTTCTGGTCGACAGAGCACGGAACACGCTGAACCGTGAAGGCATATCAGAAGTGCGGGATATTGGCAAATACATTTTGGAATATCGTCATATTACGTTCGGTCCAGCTGAACGATGAATCGAAAACGTGGACACATCACGCTTTACTTTCGCTTTTCTTCACATGTCATCGTAATAATATCAATGTAACAATGCACCAGCGTTATCGAATAACAATTTGTATATTCCTCTCTACAATCTGCATATTTTACCGGCACTTTTCAAGTTGTGACACATCGACGCAATATAAAATTATGATAATGCGATCAATTTTTAATAAAATCGCGGGGAATGGTAAGTTATATTTCAACGAAGTAATATCTCGGGGAGATGTAGATATTACTCCTAGGACCGATGCTCGGTTTGCGGGCTAAGTATGTATGCGCAATATATCCACGTCGCATCAGCCCCGGGTTTCCCTATGTAAAACCTGTGTAGTTTCAACGGAACCAGCTTTCGCCGTAGATTAAAACTAATTCCATAATTTTAGCGCGAACAAAGAAGACGTGAAGCATCTTTTATCTCGCTTGATATTTATTAAGCTTCTGCAGCTTAAGCTGGAATCGGAAACTTTATGCATATAGCATCGTTGGGTCTTAGCCGTTTTAGCATTCTTCTTTATAATTTTGCGAAGGAATATTAATTTGACAAAGTAGCGAAATGGCGAAATTTTTATAACAACGTTTTGTCAAATTTCAGGGGAGAAGTACGTGCTGTCTTTCTCAGACAATGTTTACAAAGTGCATATGAAGCTCATGATACGTTCCGTTGCGATGAGCGACTACGGCAGCTATAAATGCATATCTAAAAACTCCCTTGGCGAAACGGACGGCAATATCAAGCTCTATCGTGAGTACCATTTTCCCATCATTTAAATTACTTTTAGCTGGTCAACAGACATTGTGTAATAATTCATGGAAAATATGTTCATATTCATGTTCGCTAGTGCATTATAATTTTGCAATTTGCATAGATTTGCAAATTACTGAACAATTCTGCTGATTTTAATCCAAATTAAACTTTACTCAATTCATACAGCGTATAAATTAACATCCTCAAACATGTTTTAGCAGTTACATATAAATCAACGAATCAATGATTGTTATTCTTCGTTCCATCAAATATTTTGATAAATTGCGATTTTATAATTGACTATTTTAATAGATTATAATGATTTTTCATTTTATGAATGTATGCTTTTTCATCTCCTTGTTATTTTTTCGCAAACGCTCTTTTTAAAATCTCAGCAACGAAACATTTCGCTACTCAGGATTACTTCATACGAATTTAACGACTACATCTCGCGTGGCATTTCACCATCAAATTAATTGCACAATTTGCGTAAGAGCGATGGAAAAGTGATCCGGCAAACTTATGACGGATAACATTATATTAACGCGATATATGATTTATCGCGGGCGTATTTCTCAACCGCGGAGCCGATATCGATTCGCGCCGGTTTTCGAACATTTGTCAAGCGGTCCCTTATCGGCGCGGTCGTCGCACTTTCTTTTGTTCCGCGACTTCGGCCGCGCGCTATCAGAAATCGTTAGTCGCGCAATGAAGACCGTATCCATCAGGTGAGAAATTAAGCATCCGACGGGAGCGATTCGCCGTTCCGCGCCGTCCCATCAGACAGCGCGATAAGACTGGAGCGCAATTCTTTCGGAGACACCGGAGCGAGATATATCGGGGACGTAAGCTGAGTTTGAAAAGTGACGCCCCCGCGACGGCGGTGGCGGAGCTAGTGCCAATCGCGACTCGTCGATAACCGGAATCTCTCTCCCGAAATTTCGCGTGAGGAAAAACATTTGACTGAATGCATATGGGCTCAAATGGAAAAGCCACAAGGGAAACATCAAAGTCAGCGTGTTTTATCGTTGACATATATGTGCAATAACGATCGCGAAAGCTTGGCGTGGCAGAACGCAATAGCGGCACTCACACATCGCGCGACATAAATTAGTAAAGTTGTCGCGCTCGATAAAAATTGTATTTTCTTTTGCACCGATAATGAACATTATTTGATCGATGAGATTTTATTAATTAAAAAGCGCCCGCCAATATTTCCGCGCGACAATTCATTCGGGAAGAGGAAATTTCATATCAATCATCCGTCGCGGATAGACACTTTACCGGCATTTTCCTCAAACTTTTCATTGATTCGATATCAAAGGCAGACTCATCCGCGCGATAAGGAACACCGTGAAAGTCAGCTCGTGTCTGTCTCCTCCGCAAATCGTATTTTCCGGAAAGCGGTGTGAGCCGTGAATCACCGATAACCGCGAGTGTCGATCTGCGCTTCCTTCCCCCCCCCCAACCCTTCCGCCCTCATTCCCTCTTTCGCCGTGCAAAAAGAAGCCCCTTCTATCTATCGATCAGTAATTGTAGGTTTTCGCCTTGGCGCGTCCGCAGATTGAACCTTCCAGCTTTGTGCTTTACTGCGACCGCCGCCGAATCGGTGGATTACCGCTAAGCCGCTTAAATAAGTGTTCGATTGTGTTGACGATTTAATGCGCATTAGCATTTTAAACCAGGCCTTTCAATCCGCGCCGAAAGTTGCTGCAATGGCTGCCGGATTCGAGTTTTAATTGCTTAACTTTATCCAAACGGCGGGAGGGGATGTTTTTCCATTAATACTAACGTTGCTCGGCTCTAAATAGAATTGCGCGTTTAAAAACGATGCAAACAGGTCTTTATCACGATCGGTTAGCGATTATTTAACTTTTCCGTTTATCGGCATTTATTGTTATGCGTTAAATGATGTTAAAGCAATAACACAAAATTTATTTCCAAACGCTGGTATATTTCAGTTAAAATTTACACGATGCAGTGATATAACGCAGCAAAACGTTATTTTGCACTATTTTATTCTGTTTGTGTTAATTTCATAATAAATCATGGGTTTTATATAATTTATATAGCTTTTCACACATATTTTATTGCTGTAATGGGATGTTTTTAGGATCTATTTAAGATGTCCGTTTTAGAATGTTCGAAAAAAATGTCCTATTTAGTTAATTTTAATTAATTTTTGCATATGAAAATTTAGCTGATGTAGATTAAGATAAATTTGAATTAAAAAAATGTTAATGCATTACATGTTTTAACAGACATACCGACGCCCACTACGGAACCAACGACGACGAGCACAATGCCCGTTCCTACCACCGTAGAATCAGGTAATTTAATATTTAATATCGATTAAACAATTTAATTATAAAATTTCTTCATTATTCATTAAAATAATGAACTTCAACTCTTGTTTTCTATTGCTATGAAAATTTTATAATAAGAACTTTATGATTCAAGTAATGTAATCATAAATGTGCACGATAGCATCAATAATTACATGATTACACAACAATTAATAAGAAAAATATTGTTTCCAGTGGACAATACACAGTGGAAAATACTGCGGCAAAAGCCTGTGCCCAGTCTAGAGCCAAGCTCTAATGAAATAACCGACGCATCTTTGTCGACTGTCGTCAAAAGCGAAGGTACGCTCGGTTTCCATTATATTCTTTTAAGTTTCCTTTTTTTTTTACACTATCACCAGCTCAGATTTTCGCATTAAACAAGATTAAAGTCTCAGGAAAAGCACCAGGTATTTTAAATAGGAAAGCGTTATGCAGACAAAGTCACCATTTAATTTTATTTTAAATTGCGTTGAAATCTCTAAATAAAAGAAACACCCCGCTTGTGTTTCTGCGATATAAAATTATAATTCTCTGTAACGCCGAGAATATTACTCATTATTAAAAATGTTTTTGTTGAATATAATTATGTTTACAGTTAATTTGAATACAATTGGGCTATAATGCATTGGACTATAATGTAATTAAATGCCTTTTGAAAAATATGTGTCATAAATGAGATTTACCTGCAATATTAATCGTATTACCGATACAAGCGCGCATTAATATATAAACCCGGAAGAATATAATCAAAAGAATACATTTTGTTATTAAGTTTTCCGAAAAGTCGAAACAACCGCGAAGCACAATCTCGATTTTGTTATACGCGTAACAAATTGTTCATCGTATACCAAATTCATACTTTGCGCGTCGCAGCGAGCAAAGTTTGTTCGTCCTTTCGTTATTTTAATATGACGAACACATTATAAGTGGCAATTCCGGCTCTGCATCACCATCGTTACAATTACGCGCGTCGGCGACAGTTGCGGTGTTGTCGAAACAAGTTTGAATATTCAAAGCTACGGCCATGCAAACCTCGCGAAACTTTCGCGGGAAACAAAAATCAGATTAGCCGACTGTGCGGCGAAGGTGAGATTCGGCAACCGCACTGAGACTTCAATAGAAACTGCCGTTTCAGGCAGTCCCGAGTGACATGTACTTTCTAATGATTAACATTCTCACCGTTATTCACCATAATAATTTGATTGTTCAATCATAAATTAATCGGTTCAAAACAAGCCTTTTTTTAATAATTAATATTTAAAATTATTTATATAGAAATACGGTCTCAAAACCTTGAAAACTTTTTACACATATAATCAAATCTTATTACGCTAAAAAAGTGACACTGCATTTCGTATTTTGTTATAATAGATAGATGCATTTGTCAAAAATTGAAATTTCTCTTCCCGTCGGCAAAGTTAAATGTATCTATATCGAGTTTATGTATCTTAGTTCCGATACGTGCGACCAGACATACGTATTTCGAGCAATAAAATATTGATTTATGCGATCGGTGAAGAGGAACGCTTGAAAACACGTCACCTTCCGCAAATACGTTGCCGCGACCCGAAATTCGCCAGGATACGTCGTCTTAAATCATCGCCCTCGACGTAATGCGAGAACTTACACGCTGCCGGGCAGTGGCGGAACTTTCCTCCAGAAAGTTTCGTGGAAGGCGCGAAGTTTATTCCGCAAAACTTCCAGCAACGTGCCACGCCGCCGTGGAGTCCCCATCCCTACTCAAACCCCCGCAACCCAGCTTCTTCCTTCTGCTCCGTCCTCCGTCTCGACAAACGCGGAACTCTCGACGGGATTTTGATGAAATCCCGCGCGGTTTATGAACTACCGCGCTCAGCCCAACTATGGCAAGTAATCTGCACCCGCGCCGCGCCGGGACGGTAGCGCCGGTATCCGAACTTGTTTCGATTATCATGTAAACTGGCGAGTATGAGCAAAGCGTAGCGATTCAGGAAGCAGTGAGCTGAATGCGATCTTCGGAACGGATGGACAATGAAAACGTTACCGAAATAAAAACGCAGATAAAATAACGACGCCAGAGTACTAAGACCAGAGTACGTTGGCGTTCTGCACAAGCAATGCTTCCAGACTGAATAAATAATACGCGGCGGAAAGATTGAAACGTCGCAACGCATCTTATATTATCCAAAATAGGAAATTATGAAATAATTTCCGAGTTTTTGTCCTTGTCTTCCGCATTGAATATTTCCTGGGTAATGTCGATGTTACAACACGAACTAGAGATTTGTTAGAGATTTGTTTGCGCCGTAAAAATGTCGCAAAATTCACCGTCGACACTGGCGTAAAATATTGTTGACTATTTTCAGAGACGCGCAACAAACCGAGCCAGGAGGAGAATGAGGGAGAAAATGTCATCGACACGCACAGCCATAAAAGTGCCGAAGATGATGTCAAACAGCGAAGGATGGACAACACAGCGCAGTCCATGTCATCTAAAAGCAGCACGTGGCATTGCGTGACGCGAGTCAGCGCGGTGATTTGCATAATAGTGCTCTCCGCTCTGTCGTAGTCGTCGCGACATGGGGATGATTGATTGAAGTCCTTCCAGCTTCAGGATAAAATATTTCCTCATCCGTGCAAGGGATCAATTAATCGACGAGTTAAGGGTGACTAATACAGATTTATTGGAGGGTCCGCAGAGCTATATTGACAGGCATACGTCGAATGGGGAGGATGATTATCATAGTGAGACTATGAACTTATCTCGTCTTTGTTAGATAAATCAAATTTTACGAGAAACTCACTTATACACGGTTGTAATAAGTTGCGTCGCACACGTTCGGCATTCAGCTTTTTATATTGTTATACCGGAATGCACTTAGATACTTTTGGAAAAAAGCAAATGATATTGCCAACGCGAAGGCTCTTATTCCCTCCCAGCGTGAATGTGCAACCTGAATTATTTCCAGTCTTCATAAATTATCACGAAATCTATCAACGTTGTAATTTAAATCAAGTTCAGTATTATTATCAATAATTTAAATTTATTCGCGGCTTGTGTCAAGTTACTGAGTGACGAGAGATATGTAATTAACGTAATTGGTGTGGAAAAATACGCAATATTTGCAGTATAACATTAACAGACTATTCATTCGTCCGGTTTTTACGTATCGACCGAATGTTTACCTTTAATTTCATCAGAAATCTTTCCGCTGTTTTGAAAGCGATTGATTATCATTCCGTCTTCGACGTGTCAATGAACGTTTCATCGAAAGGTATCTGCAAGTACTTTTTAGGAATGACGACAGCGTGACGACGATTTTTCTTATCTGATTCTGCCTTGATCAAATCCTTTTTCCAATCTTTCTTTCATCGGTAGAAATGCTTTCAAATCGCGCGCATCGTTAGCGAAACGAGATCTCCCAATTTCCTTCAAAGAGGTCGACTGATTTACCGTTTCATGTCCGACCGGCTTACCGGGCTTTGATTCCTGTATCCGAATCGTAACGATATTGCAAAGAAAATCAATCAGAGCAATATTTTTTTTACAAAACCTGCATATATATATATATATATATATATATATTGTAAAAAAAAATATATATATATATCTGTATCTATTTGTTATTTAATTTGCTTATATACATCAAAGCGTTCACTGCATTTTTATTTTTCAAAATTACCATAATTTGCAATTACGAAAATATCACAATTCGATATTAAATGGAGGCAAAAATTTCTCGTGGGATTAAATATTGCGTTAAATACACTCATAGTCGTTTTATCATTTATTCATACGTTTTCCGAACGTGAGATAAAAAATTCATGGTCTACTCGATTAATAAATTAACAATTTATCGTGATTTGTGCAAAGATTTGTATCAAAATAAAATATTTTACTTTGAAATATTAAAAAATTATACAATATATTTCTACATATATTTATTTTGCAGAAAGCATATTCATTAAAGCATAAAAACGCATTCAAACATTACTTTTATATTACAGTTGCGTGGTAACATTTCAATTAATTTCATGTGCAAAAAAATTAATCCTGTGTGTTTTTATACTATGTGTGTATTAATATTTTGTCATAATGCAATAACAAATTCAAAGACACAAACAATGTTCAACATTAAGATACGCGTGTCGTCAGTTGACCATCATCGATCATGTCATCCGTTCTATCCGGGCAGAAATATAATTGTCAGGATAGAGAGTTGTTCGCTCTACTCTAACTTAAGTGTATAAATTAGTACGTAAGCATAGAAATTAATGTGATGTGTGCGAAACCTGAAGCGTGGATCGAAAACGATGCATGAGATGCAACGAAGCAAGCGGAACTTGTAAATTTCCAGAATTAATCACTTGCATATATTTGTAAATAACGTTACGATCGCGTATGGACCTTTCCATGATATTGTCGCCGTACTAATTGTATCGATACAAATGGTTTTGTATATATTAAGTCTCGTCGAGCGCGCGTAGAAATAAGAATGTGAGTAGCTGTCGACGTTTTTATATATGGATGTTTCCGCAAAACGAAATTATTGTATCCCCGAGATGTATCAGGACAATGAATTCCAAATAAGAGAGATATCTAATTATATTTTTACGCTGTTTTATGAATTTTCAAAAAGTGCAATCTTAAGTTTTCATACTTGAACAACACAACGTTCCTGCATGCAGTGATTCAGTGCGATCGCTAAGTTGAGGACAGATCAGTGCTTATACAATAATTTACTCGTAAAAGAAGATTTATATTAATAATTAGATTAGTATTTTCTATTTCAATGGCGAAAAAATATTCGCAATATTTTTGCGATGTATTATTTATGTCTTATAATTGTACTGTTAATGTAATTACTGTGTTTGATGATATCGATTCTCCGAAACTCGCGGTTCAGAGAGCGGAGCGTTTGCACATGCGTTCGTACGTCGCGCATGGCAAATTCTGCGTGCGCGAGAAACAGCGCACTGTTTTAAACAGTCTAAATGGTCGTGATTTGTATTTTCATTGACGTGAGACGTCCGCTCAATGATACAATCGAATTTTGCAAATTAATTTAAGCGTTACACACGCACCACGCCAGGTAAAAGATCCCTTGATATGAACAACATATATGTATGTCACAACTCAGGAGCTTCCTGAAATTCCGATGTAAATATTAATTAAATATTAAGACTACATTATACAATTACGTATTGTAAAGTGAATGGAATCCCTGTAAATAATTGCAGCCAGCTTTGTATAATGTTATGAGGTGGTACACGATCCAATAATCTGCGAAAAAGCACATAACTCTATATTTTTTACACAAAATATGATCAAATACACACGTGTATATATTTCTTATAAATAACGTTCGTTTATCTCAAATTTCTTCTGATCTCTTTATACATTAAAGTCTGAAATCATACATAATATTTTAAAATTTAAAATGCGAAAGTAAGAGCATCTAGAAAAATGACGTGTAAGTCTAAAGTTACACGTATCATTTTAAACATATGCTTCGTCAAGATAGTAGTCAGCAAAATAAACTGCTGATATAATTAAATCCACATAAATATCGTGTACCACGTGAATTCACATTTCTGTTAGCTGTAATTACTGTAGCGACTGTCGATGAGGAGAAAAATCGATTTCAGTGAGCTTATTACCGCTTCATAGACATTAATATTTACAGAATATTCGCAGAATGTTTAAAGAAAATTTCATAGACGAAGAAACGCTGAAAGATATTGTAAAGAGAATTATGTTTCCATTGCCGTTGTAGAAATGAATCATGTTGTAATTGACTGGACGAATGGCAAATGGAATGAATAAATATCGAATGTTTAACCCATTTTATATAAATTCTACTTCATATACGTACTTTTTGTTAATTTATAAAATATTTCAGTAGACATTAATCTCTTCTTACAGAAATGTGATGAAATCAACCTAAAATTATTAATAATAATTATTAATATTTGTGACATAGAAAACGCAGCTGATATGGATTTCCGCTATTTTATGGCAATTTTATATACCTACTTAGAATCTGACAGAATCAACTTTGATAAGAGGGGTAAAAAATACGTGTCAGATCAGAGCTCACCTGTCAGATGTTACGATTTCATTCGATTTACATACAGGACAGTTGTTAAAAATTCGAAATTAGCACTAAATTGATAATCAATATAAAATAACTAAATCTGACTCAACTTACTGCAGGTCTTTCCCATCCGAAGATAAATTCGTACGAAAACAACTGCTGAGCTTTTTATGCAGAACAGTTAAAGTGAATGCTGTAATTTTAACTACAGGAATTTATATTCAATATAGTGGCTTCTCTTGCGTTCCTTTTTCACTATAAATAATAAAGTATAAAAGTATCAATGATTAATAGTAATCAAATTATTTTCTTTAACATACACGATGGAATTTCACAGAATGCGAAATAATATCAGACATAAAAATGATATAGTGTTGGACCGTCAGTACTTATTCGAAGATGCTCGCTCGATGCTCAATTCCGTTCACATCAGATAATGCGAGGTGTCCTATAGATGTGCGCCACACCGTGAACTGATTCTCTGATGTATGCGCACAAACACCGTCCGTGTATTGTATCTCTCCTCGAGATAGATGAAATATGAGACGGGTCTTTATGTATCTATTGAAAGCCGCATGCGAGTGCTCCATTCTTCTGTGCCCGTAATATATCCTGGCGATGTGCGCGTCAGATCAGAGCTCACCTGGCATGTTACGGTTTCATTCGATTTACATTCAGGACAGTTGTCAAAAGTGGAAGCGCACCAATTGTACTCACGGGAGCGCAAAAGCCTTATCTCGCTCCCGATCCCTGCATTATTCTAAGCAAGAAAGCGCTGCGATAAGGCCGCATGATGAAAACGGAGAAATTATTTCGCTTTAATACCTAAAAGGAATCACTGTAAAACATGAGTACAAGATATTGAGCACAGTCCAAAGTAAAAGTATTATTGTCGATAATTTACTTTTTTTCTTGCGAAATAGAGTCGTATACAAGCAATCTTACCAATAGCAACTTAATTATGAAGAAAGTATAGATGTTGCGCGCACAATTTGAAGATACGCATCGGTCAAGCTTTTTTTCCGGGAACTTTGAAATACATACAGTAAAAAATATGTAATAAATTTGTATTTCACGTATATATGTATATATATATATATATGTATATATACGGACACTTCCCCGGCGGCGATAGTGCTCACAAGACTAGATCGTGTGCGAGAAGCACGGGCAGTGGCGCAACCAGATCGGCTCCAACGTCGCAGCATAATTGCGATACAGCTATGCAATTAAACATCGTCATTAATCTATACTTATTTATTGATTGACAACTAGTTACTGATCTATACTAGCGTACTTATCGCGGAGACATTCATAATTTACAAGGACGCGCCTGAAGCTTTTGCTCGGAGATTAAAAAAAAGGATGTGTACCTCTTATCATTAACGTTGATTTGATACAGTTTTTCTTACTCGCGAGATTCACCCTCGTAGTAAAACGTTACGAAATATCGGATACGATATCGGACGCCTAAAGAACTCCCGCACTTATTACATATGCAGAGACATATACAGTTACGCCACCAATCAGCACAGATAATGCTTTCTACCTGTACACTACGACATTTCAACTTTTTTTTTTGTTTTTGTTTATATGACTATCGTATTCGCCACAGTGCGCCATATACGCTACTGACGTTTTTATTAGCTACGATTTGTATTATTCGCATTTATTACAAATTCCGTACTTACTCTCCGCGGCCCGTTACACGCGTTACAATACGTCTGATGTGTGGTTAGTATGTTATCTACAATGCCGATGATACAAAAGTAGGTTGCTCTGAGAGTATCTTCGATATATTGTTTAATTGTCGCAGTCGCTAAATAATTCGTGATCGTGAGCACCGTGTAGGTGTGATGTGGAGTCTCGATGATAAATGCTAATCGATGTACAATATATGATATAATGATCCAGTCGAGGCGTTAAATGTCATCTTTAATTACAATGCGTCGTGATTCAATCTGGTTAATATCGGTGATACTAAAATTAAATTTAATCGATAAAGGTCATTGTATTATTTTTCTTATAGTATTGATATTTCTGTATACTAAAATGATTGACATTTTAGAATGTCTAGATATTAGAGCATGAAAATGGCATCTTTTGCAAAACAAATACTTGATTGACGCTTCCAGATAATGCATCTTGTATCAAAATAATTTTTACATCTGCTTTTCAGAATACAAATAATTGATATGTTTGTTGTGATAATTTGTAAAGTTATTTTTCACGGTTTAATTGTCGCACGCACATAAAAAAAAATTGTATTCTTTTCGACAGTATTTTGTCAAACTATATTCGTCATAATTATTTGATTGTATCATCCAGGAGGTCAAATGTTAGCAATATATTAACAATTTAATCAAATTTGACTAAATTTGTTGTCAATTGCCATCATTGCTAATATTTTGCATACTGACTGATGCAATTAACGAATATCGGATATTGTTAATATCTACATTATTTTCCAATATTCAGCTTAAACTGTTTAAACTCAAGACTGTCATCTTATAAGTTAATAGAAAAGAACCGAGTTTACAGAAGAGAATATTAATAAAAGCAGAAATCGATGCAAGAAGTAGATCAATTTCCGGATAAAATAATGAAACGGAAACCGTTAACTTAGTTATATTTACGAAGAAAATTGATCAATCAATTTATTTTCAAGATAAACTACAACTCTTATGATATGTTTATGCAGATTGTTTAACGTTTCTCGAATATCTCTTTTTTCGTTTTCCAATGCTCGATACTATCTCTAACAACAAGAACTCGTTTCTGTGTTTTGCTTTACTTATTACACAGATTGCTTTGACCCGTTTCGAAACTCAACCTCTTTCATACCTGATATTCAATAATAAGCTTTGCATTTGCATACGTTTACATGCATATACAAATCAGTGAACGAAAACACAAAGCGCCCATCGTGCAAACCGCGCATCGTGGTATTGTACTATAATTCAGACTGTACAGGGTGTCCCAGTTCATAGAATGCGTTTATAGAGTGTTACCCAAAGCTCTGACAGCTTAAGTGAAGTTATGCAAATATTTGCATTGATTACGATGCATTGCACAACATCAGTAATTAATGATGCGGAAATTGCAGTTAATTGTTGATTGCGACATGAATAGAATACACCGATATACCGTATATCTTAGTAAATAATTCACACTGTCAAATACATTAAATTTTCCGCATTTGTTATGAGTTCGTCAAATATTATCAAGAGATCGGTTTAGTCTATTTTATGGATAATTCATTACACTATATATTGCTGTGGCAGTGGCAATATAAGTGGTCTCCAGCGGCATCAGCCTAATTCTAATATGTACAATATGTAGAGCATGATAAAGCGAAATCTATTCACACGCAATACATCGACCACTGCTCGAAAATTATTTAAAGACGCCAAGAGTCTCTTCAGTCTTGACTTAATACTACTATATATAGCGTATATATAACCTATATTTATTATACATACTATATACAGAGCTATGAGGAATATTTTCTGATTCCTAATTTTGAAAAATAGGACTGCCAAAATATTAATTACATTTATATATTTAAACACACGAATAAAAATTACAACAAGCAATTCTGATTCAAATTTAAATTCTTTAAATAAAAGTTTGAATAAAATATTTATTTTTACAATAATGATTGAATTCGAGCAGGAAATAGAAATAAATTTTCGTTTATACGAAAATAGAATAAATTGTTAATTTAGACGAGAAGAATGGCAGAAGTCCAAGGAACGGCGATAGCATCGTTACATATACTGCCTATATATAGTACATATATCATAATTATGCTAATACTATACATAGTACATTACAGTATCGTACTATACAGAGAGTTATTATGAAATAAGTTCCAGCTAACGCAAATATGTGTATTTTTCCTCGGTACAAATTCTAATGACCAATCCAGGATGTACGCCGAGGTTTTGGTGCGAATCTTCAAGCGATGATTATTAATGTAATACGTCTCGAATATTTTATGAGATTAACGCTAGCTAATCTATACACACGGTAATCGTCTTAAGTTAGAAGTCAAGAGTTACGGAGAGCCATGTAAAACGACGCCGACCGATATCACCGCGTCGCTGCAGCTTTAAAGAATTAATAACTTGTAGAGAAAACATTTAATAAGACGAGAAATAAATCACACAGTTTTCTAGTATCAATTCATATTGCAATATAAACGTGGCAATACCGAAATGAGTCAAGAAAGATTTACGTAGCGTCTCGTCTGAAAAAAAAAAATAAATTCTTTTGCTTAAAATTATATAATAAAAAAAGTAATTTTTGCGATATTAAGAAATATTAAAATTCTTCGTCATGAAAAAATTAGTCGAAACTTAATGAATTTATTTAATTGCTAAAATTTGATTTAATAATAATAAAAAAACCTTTTTATCGTGTTCGATGATTTTTCTCTGTTTATGGTAAAATAAATGATACATTCTTTAAAATATTTCTCTAAATACACGAAAAAAGTAAACAAAAATTTAGCTTATCTGTTGAGCAGTCCTTCTGGTTGAATTGGACATCTTTGCTCCAAGCCTAGAGTCTCTCTAATAAGCGTCTAGACAGTAACTGCCTTCCCCTGCAATTGGCGCAGCTGCACTGTCGCATAGTTGCATCGTTCGGACATCGCTTCGTAATAGTCGTCAGACGTTCGGGATACACCGCTCCGGATGGCCAATTAAAAATGACGTGAAACAGTGCAGACTATCTGTCTTTCACTGCTTTGTAGAAGTTTATTTCTGTTCAATAAAACTTGTTATTGCTCATTACTTCGGAGTCAATCATTATCGAGCTTTGCAGAATGGAATGCGCACTTGCAATTAATAAACAATACTTATCACACGCTTATTATTTCATGAAGAGTTTATTATGGATTTATGCAAAGTTATCTTAGTTACATAGAATATTGCCTAGAATAGAAAGAAATAAAATTATTAATAATAAGCAGAAAAGATAAACTCTTCTTCAAAATAAGAATTAAATTAGATAAGGGATAATTAATTATTAAGGGAGAATGATTAACTTAACTTGCATCTTCTCTCAAAGACCAACCGATATTTTATCGCGACTGTTATAACGTTCGAAATTTATGTGAGTGTTTCAGTTATCCTCGCGGCACTGCTAACGCAACCCTAAAATAAATCAGGGTGAGCGTTCCCCAACGTTGTAACGTGATTCCGGCCACATAGGGTAGATTTGCGCGCCTAACTCCGAATCCGAGACTGTCCGCAATGACTGTCCCTTAAGTCGTAATCCTCCCGTAGCGAACTCCGACGACGCTCTAGTCGGAGCCGTCACTAATGCTACTTATAGTATTATTATCTTATCATTTAAGTTTAAAGTGGTCAACGCAGTCCTCGACGATAATCATCCTCGACTGAAGTCCCTGAGCGATGGATTTACAAGTGGATGTACAAAGTCACGATGGTTCGATGATCGAAATACGCGTGTGATAGTGTGCAGGGCCGTCGTGGGTAGATCTCAGGCTGGATGCAATGTTCGCATCAGCGGATGATGATGGAGGCACAGGCACAAAGCGACGAGAGCCACCAAAAGCAACGAGCTGTTGTTGCTGGTCGCGCTGGACTCGTCGTAGTCCGTCACGTCGCCGCCATTCTTTTTACCTCGTAGTTTTAGATCTACACATTTTGAGATGTACAATTATAATATGACAGTATTATCAAGAGAAAAGTTAAAAAAAATCTTATATTAAAAAAAATAAATAAATACTTATTTTTGATGAGGACTTTTCAAGTCCTTTACATTCCTTGAAGACATTTGTAATATTATAAAGAATAAAAAAAAAAAAGATCGATGTGCAATTATCGTTGCTAAAATTAAATTCTAATCTTCAATGTACCTCGTCCTTCCTGTAGCATATCTTGATTTCCCTCCAGGATATTGTTCCCTGAATTATACTTTAGTTTACCTGCAAACAGAGTGAGATATTGAACGATATCGTTCCTTCAAGCAAAGTTTATGTTTTGATATTGTTAATATCGCTCAAGTAAATATTTACCAATACTTTTATTCATGAGCAATAATTATGTATATTCGTCTATTTTTATTCGGTACAATTTTGTAACAACATTTAGCTGGGTTAGAAAAATTTCGAAAAATGGTTAAGCAAATTTATACCAATTAGAAATATTTGTTCAATAACTTACTTTGTTATGTAAACGTGGACAAATCAGTGTCAGCTTCTCGTGAATTAGCGAATGAAAAATTATTTAATTGAATCCTATTATTTTGACTGTCTTCTTGTTCCGTTTTCTTTGATTAATTGGTGTTCCGTTGAATGTCTTTAAAGCAATTTGTTTCGCGTTGTGGTATTCGGTTTCAGGTGGTACGTCACGAAACTACTAATGACGATGGTTGTTAAATCAATTGCCAGAGAAGTAGCGATGACAGTAGACACGAAGAGAGGAACAATTTATGAGAGACGAGTTTGTGTCACAGAATAAATAAATTTCTCGTTTTAATAAATACAAATTATACTCGCTTATATATGTGTGTGTTTAATAAAAATTTAGTTACGTTGTGTTGTTTCATTTAAATTTTTATAAAATCTGGACGACAGTCAGATTGCACATTTTTGGAATTCATTGATTGTAATTTTATGCAATTTAAAAAATGCTATTTCGTATAAGCAGAAATTATGCTGCAGTATATTTTTCTCTATCGCAAAAAATGCAATAAATTTTTGTGTAAACTAGCGGCAGGTTTACTGATAAATAAGGATAAAAAGTGAGGGTGGAGCAAGGAATAGGTATTCTGTCGCTATTGGAAAAGCGATCTAGCGTTTTGCTCAGGGCGCGAGCGCGGAGTTCGTTTGTCTCCGTGAAAAATGCGGCTTGAACCGCGTGTTTTCTCAAGTAATGAGGAAAACGAAGGAGAGCAGGACTGCCGTTCGTACTCCGCAGGACAAACCCGGCGCAGATTGTGGAAGGACCTGAGGTATGACCAACGTGTTTGCCTTCACGTTGTTAAGTTTCCGCGTGAAATTTCGTGAAAACGCTGCTTCGTTACTTTCGCATGCACCAGAGAATACCCGTGCTCTATCTCGCAGCTCTAATATTTCTGCGAGAGGGATAAATAACGATCGCTCTGACAAAAAAACTCCCCCTAATCCTATTAAAAATTAATGATCGCATGCACTAAATTCGCTCTTAGCAGACACTCATTAATAATTGCTCTTCAATTCTCCATTAATTTTCAAGAGATCATATTCTTTCGCTTAATTTTGCAGCTCATATTTAGACGTGTACAATATTTAACCCTCGAAACGCATGTGCGCGGCGAGGTGGAAAGAGTTCAATAAAATTGACCCAGGACACCGGAACCGGTCTCTATAAATCTTCCATCGCGCAATGCAACGTCGCCTCCCAATCTGTTGGCATCAAAATATTTTGCATATATCGATTTCCGGGCGCCGGGCGAACGGGAAGTTGCACCGAAGACGGGTCAATAATAAATCCCGGATTTTTCATTATGATGGCACGGAAGATACTTGGTGAAATATGAAAGTAAGCTGCTTTTGCGAGCATTCCGCATTGACATCACTTTTGTGCGGTGATTATTCATTGTCGCTAGCAAGTCGCTAGTAAAACGCGCGACCCCCGCACCGTTAATTATACAATTTTATAATCGTTCGTCCGGAAGTATTCAACAGGCGCGAATGAACTGGAATTATGTCTGGAAAAGTCGCGCAAAGATAACGCCACGATAAGCTGATTTCCGAAGGAGCGTATACGGCTATACGTTTTAAATGAATTCGTATTTATATTGCATTTATATCCCGCTATCTTGCACTACGCAGTGCGCAGCGCGCAGCGATTGCATAAAGACTCGCGATGAGAGCGTGTTCGCGGCCGTCTGTGTAGCCGTAAAAACATCGATTAGCCATAAAACGAAGACGGGGCGAGATGTTTAAAGTTTTCCCGTTGCGAAATGAACCATTAAAACGGCGAGTGAAGACTCCGGGCGAGCGTCTCGAGGCTATATCACGACCGTCGAGAGTGTCTTAAAGCACGTACTTCAAAGGGTGGATTTTATATCGGCGTTTTTCATCCTGATATAGTACGTATACACAGCGGTTATATTACATTATAACGGAATATATACATCGTACGGTCAAGAAGCGCGGCAATGTCTCAACGCCAAGTACATATGAAACGTGTGACTGACACATTCAGCCGTTGTTTATCGCCGAGCATTACTCACTATCCTTTGTTGAAAGATTGCTTCATTTTTTAAAGCCAAAATATTTAATACAAGGTGACCAGTAAGCCCCACGGTGTATGAAATATGATCGCAAACATTAGCGATTTCCGGAAATTTGAATGGAAAATGTGCAACAATACCGCAGCTCATTGTACCTTTCGCAATATTTCTCAATAAATATGGTCTGCGGCAAAAAGAGAAAGAACTAATGCGGATAACGCAAAATACTTTACGTGCGCTTAGTTAATACTCATGCGGAGCATAACAAAATACAGCGGAGCGCGGCGCACTGACATGTAATTTACCATCTCCTTTGAAGAAGCCGATGTATTGTTCCACAAAGCTCTTCCCGTATTATTATCTCTTTGAATACATCAACGTACTTGAAATACCGCGCCGAGAGAAGAGAGCCGTTCGCGAATTGGTACTTTAAACGTCCGCCATGCATTTTGTCCCCTCAATCCCTTCATTTGCATGCTAAAGACAAATCTAATAATACCACGCCCGGGAAGAAATCACGGTGATGAAATCAAATACCTCACCGTGAACTTTACATGTGCGATCTACAGTTATCACATTAGAGCGCGCGCCGTTCTGTCCATTAAAATTCATTACTCGATTTTTATCTTCAGGTATAACGGCGTAATTGTTGTAACCGCAGTGCGTCTTTTTCAATTTTTCGGAAGCAAATTGAACGTTCTTCTATCAAAGAGCTTCTATCTCGCCGAGAGAAACGTGCGCCGGGTTATTTACGGGAAAAGTGTATTACGCACAGCCGTAAGACGTTAACGCTTACGCGCAAGAGAAAACCGGAGGAAAAGAAAGAGAGAGATGAGTCCCTTTGCAAGAAACTTCAGCTTTGCCCTTTTCTCTCCGCAATGAAAGGCAGGGCAGGCTGGCGCGGTAGGTGCAAGAGCCGAAAATGGTATTCATCCGGGTCTCTTTAAAAAGTCGTTTCTCTAAACGTCTATCTGTGCTATCGCACCGCGCGCGCGGACGCAGCTCCTTTCTCCCTTCCCCTGCGCGGTGCATTCTGCAACGAGCCTGCACCAAGCCGTTGCACCGACTTTTGTGCGCGCTTC